GTCTCTTTATTAGGGCGGCATGAGAAGCAGCAAAACCAGCGTCTGCATGGTCTCACTGTGGTTTCAACCCAAAAGCTGGATGATCTCAATTCAAAATGGCCATGGGCAATAGCAATCTTGAGCTGAAAATCCACTTACAACACCAATTTCAAAGTTTAAAAAACTCTACTAATCTAAAACAAACTGATCTAAATAAGCAGTTGTCCAAGTGTGGAGAGTCATCTCCCTCCCTCCTATAGTTAGGTAAGTTTAAGGTGTATTTTCGGTTTAACCTAGTTTCTCTTTTTTTCATCACTGAACATTCTATTTTGATGTGCAGTGCCCTGGACTTCCTGTTACTACATCTTAATATTCTCCTGAAAATCATGACTCATTTGTAAGTCACAGAGAAACTCATCAAAATCCCAAATTTCACACCACATATGAATTCAGTCGTTCAAGAGGGCAGCATTCTTAGAACATTACTTGGCACCACAAAGACAAAAACACTAATTAAGTACATGCTGAAATTATGTCAATCTACTGTTGAATCAACACATTTATTAGATCAATAAATACAAGTGTTACGTGTGGTCATTTTGGTCTTTGTACTAATTATTAAAACGTTACATGATATGTTAAGTGAAAATAAGTTACAAAACAGAAAGCATAGTGACTGCAATTACAAATGTTACGTGTGTGTATGTATACACATGTGTATTTTAATTGATACTTTCACTTTATTTGGCAATTTTAAAATAAGTGAAATCAGTATTAACCCAATTATGTCCCTTTTTATGTCAATATGATCTAATGGGTTTGTATTTGATATGTTTTCGCCTTTAGGTTTACTTTTTTTTATTATTATTATTTATTTTTGTTACAGATGTTTCTCCTTTTTCCCCCATTGACACTCTCCTCCTGGTCCTGCCCCCCTCCTCACAGCATTGTTGTCTATGTCCATTGGTTACCCATATATGCATATAAGTTCTTTGGCTTATCTCTTCCCTCTCCCCTGCCCCCTTCTCTGAAGTTTATCAGTCTGAACCCTACTTCTATGTCTCTGGGTCTATTTTGTTCATAAGCTTATTTTGTTCATTATATTCCACAAATAAGACACACACATGCATTTAAAAAAAACAGAAAAAATATACACCAAACGTTAACAGTGGGATTATGGGAGATGTTTATTTTTTTTTCTCTGTGGCTTTCTAAATCTTCCTACAGTAATTCACATTAATATTTTTGTAACAGAAAAAACAACAACAACTAACCTTTAGAAAATGTTGTTATGCTGGTGTGATTTCAAATGGATTACAATGGAAACATTAGGGCAAAGAGGCATGGATAACTAGGATATAAAAAAACAGTCTTGCCTGAAACACAGAAAAATCTGACAGGAGTGGGGTCCTTCATTCAAATGGCCTGGGCCACTCATGGTATGTGTAGGTGCAGGCCCTTAAGAAGGGGCAGAAGCCAGCTGCCAGCAGCCAGGGCACAGCCAGGATGGATGGAGGAGAACTAAATTCTTTTAAAGTTTAATGAGGAACCCCAGGTCTGGGAAACATGGAGATGGCTAGATCATTCTCTAGGGCTGCAAAGGAGCAAAGCTATTAATTAGTCAGCAGTAACCCACCATCAATGAAAAAAAGACTATTTCATAAGGTCACATCCTTGGGGGTTTTTTTTGGTCTTTGTTTTTGTTTGTTTGTTTATTTTAGTGTTTTGGGTTTGTCAATAGGTAATGCTTTGCAGTCATATTGGATTTTGAATCAGATAGATATATAAATATAATTGGGTAACACAGAACACGCAAAATTCAGTATCTGACAACTAAGAAAAGAAAATTTAAATTTATATGCACTGCCTGGAAGTCCTTTAAAACCAATTTCAGGAAAAGATTCAAGTTCCAAAAGGTTATTACAAATATAAATTTCAATATATGACCTCAAAGTTACATTTTCTGTATACTAGCAGTTTGAATTATTAATTTTGTTTTAATAAGAAAAAGAGGAGGTCTTTAGTAACTGTTTAGGAAATTCAAAATTCAAATGGGGCAGGGCAAAAAAAAAAAAATCACTGCTCTCTCCTATCTGGGCTATTGCCATTCTGGTCCAAAAATCATTAGTACCAGTGTGTGAGGTTCAGAGATGATCTAATTCAGCTCACAAAGGTACACCATCACGATGTCTTAACTTACATGTCATGCCATTGCATATTACTGACCAAAAAGAGAAAGGGAGAGAAAATTCATGCATACGTGCTATATATATGTGGCAGAAAAGTGCAACTGGTGAGTTTTAAATGTCCTCCTCATTGAATGAATGCATGTAAAAGAGTTATCATCATTATTAATGTAAACAGGAGTTGCTCAATCTGGGCACTACTGACAATTTGGGTGGAAAATTCTTTGGGGGTGGGGGAGCTGGTCCTGTACATTGTTGGATGTGTAGCAGCATCCTTGACCTCTACCCACTAGATGCCAACAGCACTCCCTCTGGTTATGACAACCAAAACGTCTCCAGATACTGTCAAATGCCCCCCCCCCCCCCGCATAATTACTCCCAGGTGAGAACTATCCAAATAACTTATTGGAATGAAGACTTCTAATTACCTCCTTTTATTTGGAAGGAAATGGATGGAGTCTTGAGAGAATATTTACAACCTCCATCCTTAAGAAATGCTCATGCAGAATGTGCAAAGCTTTTTTTCTTATCTATTTATTGTAAAGACTGTTACCCTATTCGCTGCTCTCAATGTGACCATTAAAACCTGTAAGCACCTACTCTGTGCCAGGCACAGTGTTAGGGACATCCTGTACTCGTGTCCACTGACTCACAACCTGGTCAGGCTGGTTGGGCTGTTTTTAGGACAAGCTTTGCCACCATAAACGACATACCAACACCTTAGAAACCTTCAAGACAGCATTGCATCCTTGTCAATAAAGGATCCCAACAGTTTCAATCGGGTTCCTTCAAACTCTTTACCCTTTTTAGTAACTCTACATATTTCCATCATATAAAGGTTTTAAAAGGAAGAAAAGACAGCCAGAAGGCTCTTGCTATATTTGGCATAGAAAGACTATCAGGGGCTTTTGCAGGCAGGATCATTACTGGAAACTCTAAAAACACTTATGGACAGTCTCCTTAACTGTCTGACCCACGTGCCCTCCTAACACAATTTGTATTTTATAATCCCCATAAATTGAAACTCATAACTGACCTTTCCCAAATAAATGTGTCACGGAGAGAGAGAGAAAGGGAGTCAGATCAGAGGGTATTTTGTTTGGCAAGAAGGCAATGAGGCTCAGAAACTGATTTGAGCTCATTAATAGATGCCTGGAACATGCTTGGTTTCCCATCTCCTCCGTGCCCCCCTCCCCCCCCCCCCCCCAACAAAGACTGAAGCTCGGACGCGAGAGGATGGGTGTGTTGAGCCGCTTAGGCAATAGAAACTTCACACACACAACTGGGAAAGAAAAACCTGTAAGTCTGAAAAAAGTGATTTCAAAGTTTTCAAAGACACTACCCTGAAAAGGTTCGGCTGTCGGCTGCGCCTCGGAGTAAATAAAGCCGTAACTTGTCTCCCTCTCCAGCGCAGGGCTCGCCCGCCTGACGGTGGCTGCACAAAACCCCTCCTGTGCGGAGCAGCGGAAACTCCTAATGAGATTAGTTGGTGTGTGTGCAGACATTACTTAGCAATGACTAAAGGGGCTCTCTCTTCCTGCAGCAGCCAGTGGAAAATTCAGGGAACTTTTTCCCCCTGCAGCAGCAGAATCCCTTTAACCCTCTCCCCAGCCAACTCCAAAAACAACTCAGCCTCCCCCAACCCCCCCTTTCCCGGCCGTGGTGCTGGGGGGAGTTAAAGACAGGCCAGGGGCTTCCAAAAGCGGGAGGGTGGGACGGGGCCGGCGGGGAAGGGGCGGGGGACCCCTCCAACACTACAAAGGAAACTGTAAAAGGCACAAATACATAAACCTGAGAAGGAGCAAACCACAGTTTCTTTGTGAGCTCCTCTAGTGAGTCATTTTCAAGATGCTGTCTGCTGCCAGTTTCAAAGCGGAAGCGCATGGCAATTAGTCTTGCAGTTTCCAGACAAGCCAGAAACTCTCCCGACACTCGTTTTATTTTTTTATTTTTTTCGAAAAAGCCCCTTTTGCTGTTTCTGAAATAACATTTCTTGCTCCCACCCCCACCCGCCGCCTAACTGCAGCTTGTCCTCAGGATGATTCAGTTCAGAAAAACATAAAACCGAGACCTCTTATTTTTCTTTTTTTAACTCTCCAAAAATTTTTATCTCCCCCTCCCAAAAAGTTGCAGTAGCATTACAGGCCAACATTCCGTTGGAAGCTGAAAAGCCCCTTCCTAAAAAGCTGGGCGCGCCAAGACCATTTACTGTCCTGTCCTCCAGAACAGGGTCCAGAAAAGACTCCAACCGGCCTTTAAAGGTCCGGCTGGGCGTGCTCCTGGGGTGGTGACCAGCGGGGGTCACCTGCCGAGCGAGTGGACACAGACCCCAGCCCTGCGTCCTCGCTCCGCACGCCCTCCGCCGCCCTCTCCATCCACGTCTCCCTTCCAGAACGCGAGCATCAATGCCCACTGCCACCCCAAGGGGCGCCCCAGCTGGCAGGTCAGCGGTGGTCCAGCCTCCAGGCACGCAGCCTGCTCCAGTCACCGTTCCTCCTAAAGACCCCAAGTCTTACCATCCCCTATTTCCCCAAGAGCGCCCCTCCTCTGGGCTCTCCGCGAAGCCTCAGGGCCGGTTGCAGCCAGCGCAGGGTCGCCGCAGCCCCCAGCCCGACGCTCGGAAGAGCGTGGAGCACCCCGCTGGGTGGGCGGCGGCGCGGCCGCAGGAGCATCCCGGGTGCGCCCCCTCCCCGCGGCCGCCCCCAACCCCGGCCCGCAGCCCACCCCGCGGCGCCCACCGCCCAACCCCCACAAAGTCAAAGAAAAGAAAGGAAAAAACACCCCCAACGAAACTTTGCAACTGTCCCAGCAACAGGCAGAAGCCCTGCTACCTACCCAGATGTGGGGGAGCTTTCAAGATCCTTCTTCGGGGGAATTTCTAGGAGGAACCGGGCGAAAGCCCCCGACTTTCCATGCTGACAGGCGTCTGCAGACGGTCTGTTGCTCTTGTAATGAGATCCTGATTTTCTCCCCCCCTTTTTTTTCTTTCTCTCGCTCCTCTTTTTTTTTTCCCCTCTGGTGTGTGTGAGAGCAGGAAGTTGGAGCAGTCAGGCCGAGCCGGCTCACTTCCTTTACTGCATTATTCCCCAGGCGGTGTGCAGTCTGTGTAAACAGGCTTTTCCGCCCCGCGCCGCGCGCCCGGGCCGCGGCTGTGCGCCGGGGCTGGCCGCCCAGGCCCGCGCATACTCCGCTTCCTCGGCCCCGCGCGCTCGCCCGCACCGCGCCGCGCGCCCCCGCGCCCCCGCCCGCCGCGCGCCCCGCTTCCTGCCCGGCCACCCCAGGGGAGGAGCCACCAGACCCTACGAGTCTCTTAGCGGCCGCAGCCCCTCCCCACGAGGGGCGGGGGTGCAACTCGGCCAGAAACCCAGGGAAGCCGCTCGCGACGCGCTGGGGCGATGACCCGCGGTTGGGGCGGAACCGGGGATCCCTCTTCTTCCCGGGGCGGGGGGGACCCTGCGCCGGGGACCGCGCTGGGCACTGTAGTGGGGTCGAGCCCTACCCAGTTGGCCTAGGTGGGGAGGCCCGAAGTGGGGAGGCCGCTGAACTTGCTGTTTTCTGTCGGCTGGGATGAGAGTTGTGGGGCAGGGGGGCTTCGGGAGTGGGGTTCAGGATTTGGTTGCTCTAGGAAAAGAGCTGTTTTTATCGTGGGTGGGGGCGTGATTGTTTAGGATGAGATGTTGGATGTGCAGAAAAGGAGGCACGGTTTCTGTCTGGGGATGGACACAGTTCCTGTCTGGGATTTTTTTTTAAAAAGCCAGCGCTCAGAGTAGGGGGCCCACTTTGGGGAAAAGGATGAGAAGCCATAAACTGGAAGCCAGGATTCTCCAGAAAGAGACCTTTCTGGCCGCTCACTATGGCCTCCCACAGGTCAACCCTTTCCTGCCCGCTAAGGAGCTTCGAAGGGAAATGAGCGACGACCACAGGGGCCGAGTGACTGAGGAGGCTCTGTGGTCTCAACACTGGACCCCACACGGCACTATCCTTCAGGGACAGTCCATCTCAGAGGGCTCAGGCCCAACGCAGACGGGAGCTTGCCCGCTGCCCTGAGGCTGAGAGGAAGGAGGAGGGTGTCGGTGGAAGAGTCCCTAACCCCCAGCCCTGTGCTCCACCACCAACTGCTCACCTTCCGGAGCCCCCCATTCCCAAGCCTGCACTGCTTGGCAGCTCGGACCAATGCTTCTCAAACTTCAGCGTGCACCAGCTTCATGTTGGGGGGAGGGGGGGCTCATTAAAACACTGGTTGCCGGGCTTCAACCGCCAGAGTTCCTGATTCAGTAGGTCCTGGGAAGTTTTCAGCCCCTGGCTAACTTGAGAATCACCTGGGGAGTGTTTTGGAAACTATTTATCTCCATACACAACCCAAACCAATTAAGTCGGATTCCCTGGGGCAGGGCGTGAGTACTTTTTAAAAGACCGCATTCTAAGACTTCCTCCACTTATTTATTTGTTTATCTTTGTAATCTTTCAGAAAGAGTATTTGTTTACCAACTGTGGGCCTCTAAGGGCCAGGGTTGTAGTTTGTATCTAGCCTTATCTGGTTAGTACCAGCCCCAACCAGGCGCTCCTGACAGAGCACCTGACTCAGAGGACAACCCAGTTCACATGTGCTTCCTGGCTAGTGTGGATAGTTCACTGAGAGGTGTGACAAGGCCCATCGGAGCACTGGGGGGAGGGGGGAGTAGAGCCCTAGGAGAAGGTATGGGGAAGAGAGCTGTTGATCAACCCCTGATTTTCCACAGCTAATTTTCCACTTTAGGGATTATCGTTTTAATTCCTAGTAGGCTTCTCCTGTCACTCAGCAGAGCTCACTTCGTGTCCCTGTATCATCCAGCTGGCGGTGGACTGGGAGAATGTAAACTTACTTTATTATCCTTATCCGGGAGAAATAAAATCTCACACACGCAATTAAGAACACCATGTTGCTTTATTTTTAAAAGCATATGACAAAGCCAAACATAAGTATATTTTAAATCAGTGGCTTTCAATGCTTTTTATTGTTGTTTTTTTTTTTTTTTTTCAGAACAAATCTTTGAAAATACTAATATGTAAGACAGAAAGGGTGTTTGTATGGTTTTTATCAAGCTGTTTAATTGTTTTGAGGAAATGCCTCCTTGTCTAAAACACTTCTGAAACACTTATGGGTGGCCTTAGCATTTCCCAGACGAAATGAAGAACTCAAGTTTTTCTGGGGTTTTAGATCAGCGGTTTTCAACCAGTGTGCTGTGGCACCCAGGTGTGCTGCAAGAATTTTTAAAACATGCAATACCTGACTATTTAGTCAGGAGCACTGACCTCTTTCCCTTTAGACTGTCAAATAAATAATGACAATAGCCATCTGGTGTGAATGAATCAAAATTATACCTTTTTGTTTTTTTTGGTGTGCCACAGAATTTTAGTAATTAATTTATGTGTGCCATGAGATGAAAAGGTTGAAAATGTTTTTGATTGTCCACACCAGTCCTTCATATACATGAGTAATTCAGAGCTGACTCTGCTCTTCCTAAAGGCACAGGAATAACTTTTAGTTGTCCACAGCCTCTGTCCTTTGCATTCTAAGGGAAAACTGCCGCCTTAGCTTGCTATAATGAATACCATAGACTGTGTGGCTTAAACAACAGACATTTATTTCTCACAGTTCTGGAGGAAAAGCCCAAGATCAAGGTGCCAGCAAATTTGATTCTTGGTGAGGACCCTCTTGCTGGCTTGTAGATGGCCAAGTCTCACTGTCCCCACATGGCCTCTCCTCAGTGTGCACATGTAGGTGGAGAGAGAGAGGAAGGGCACTTGTAAAGGGCACTAATCTCATTATGGAAGCCCTACCCTTATGACCTCATTGAAACCAAATTACCTCCCGAAGTCCCCACCTCCTAATACCATCACACTGGGGTTAGGACTTAAAGGGGAATTTTAGGGAGACACAAACATTCAGTCCATAACAACTGCTATTTGTCTTTCATGCTTTCCTTCCCACTATCAAAAAGCAGCCAAGAGGTGTGGCACTTAGTATTGTATGATCCACGCTCCTTTTTCTAGCTTTTGTTGTCAAACAGACAGGAGTTAGGATTCTATAGATTATTAGTAAGATTTCTTTAGGAGCCCTTTATAGTGGGTGACAGGGCCTAGGGTCATTCATTTCTTCTGACCAAGAGAGGCTCTCTCAGCTTTGATGAGGACAGCAGCGATCTCACCAGGGGTCGGAGTTAGTGTGGTGTGTTGAAGGGTGCTTGGGGCAGGGTGGAGGGTGGTCAGCCCAACTAAACTCTGTGGGTGCAGTGTGGAGGAGGGCTTGGTCTCCAGAAGAAAATCAAAGCCCTGGTTCCAAAAGAAGGAGTGTATTAGCTTTTGCTGGGATAATGCTATGTAACAACTCCTAACCTCTGTGTAGGACTAGCACTCTCTCTCTTTGACTCACAATCTATTGGGGAAAGCAAGTCATCTGGACAAGTCTAAAGTCTGTGGGACAGGGAGAAGGATAGGAAGGGAAGGGAGAATTCTGAACAAATAATACAACCTACCACAAGAATATGGATGCTGATATACAAAACAACACATCTCAGGTCCCTCATACTTTAACGCTCCACAATATATAACAAAGCGGGATGCTATGAAAGGTAAAAAAAAAAAAAAAAAAAAAATACAGATGGGTGAGGAAGTATGATTAGATAGGGCAGGAGAAAAAAAATGAGTTTTATAATATATCAAATTAAAGTATTCTAGAACACAGTAGAACAAGTAATATATGAAACTTATGAATTGATGGTATTACATTTATGAATTGATGAGTTTGGGTAGAAATTCAAAAGTGATTTGCCATCATTACTTCGAGCTACCTCAGTGTTGAAGGAATGTGGGTAGGAGCTGGAAATGGATAGCCAAAGCCTCATGGGAAGGTAGTCCACTCTGGTGGAAAGTATAAATCTGGAAGCTGGAATTTTGAGATCCAGTCCCATATTGACTTTTCTTATGTGACCTTGACTAAGTCACTCACCCTCCATGAGCCCAAGTGAGCATCAATTTTTACTGATTTTTACAGTGAATGCCAATTTTACATTAAAACAATATGTTATGGACTAGGATTCAAAAACTTTTGTGAACTTCTTTTGAAAGAGTATTTAAAAGAAATTTATAGACTTGCAGGCAAACCCCCTGGGAGCCTGTGTTCTCCCTTTTGTGTTGTTAGAGGTCTTTCAGTGGGCACATTTGAGAATTATTCATTTGAACCATCTTTTTTGCCCTCAGACTGGCCACCTAGAGGCTGAAAAGCCCAAGATCTAGAGGCCAGGGTTGACAAACTGCAGCCCACAGGGCCGGCTGCCTGTAACTATATGACTTTTGAGTAAAGAATAATTGATTTTTTTCCCTTTTAAAAACAATGTTTAATTGTGGTTAAAAAAAATTACCATCTTAATCTTTTATTTTATTATTATTATTTTTTTATCCTCACCCGAGGACATTTTTCCATTTTTTGTTCAGATAGAGCGGGAGGGAGAGAGAGGAAGAGAGAGAGAGAAACATCGATGTGAAGGAACAGACACATCGAGTGGCTGCCACCCGCACGACCAACCAGGGCCGGGGACAAACTGCAACCGAGCTATGTGCCCTTAGCGGGAACCGAACCCGTGTCTCTCTGGACCGTGGGCCGACGCTCCAACCGCTGAGCCAAACCGGCCAGGGCACCATCTTAATCTTTTAAAGTATACAGTACAGTAGCATGTTAAATATATTCAGGTTGTTTTTGTGCAGCCGATCTATACAATTTTTTCATCTTGCAAAACCAAAACTCTGTACCCCTTAAACACAACTCTCATTCACCAATACCCTAACCCTAACAAACACTATTCTACTTTTTGTTTTTGTGAATATGACTACTTTAGAGACCTCATATAAATGGAATCATACAGTATTTATCTTTTTGGCTTATTTTTCTCAGTCTGATGTCCTCAAAGTTTATCCACGTTATATCAGATGATAGAATTTCCTTCCTTTTTGGGGCTGAATAATGCCCCATTGTATGTACACCACAATATTTTTTAACCAGTTCATCTGTTGATGGACATCTATGGACATCTGGGTTGCTTCCACTCAGATGTCCATTTACATTTTTAAATGGTTAAAAAGAAATAAAAGGA